ATATTTTGAAGGTGGAGCCCTCAGGATTGTCTGAGGACCAGATGTGGAGTATGAGAAAAAGAGGAGTCAAGATCAAATGCTTGGCCTGAGCAACTGGATGGGTGGAGCTGAGACAGGAAAGGCAGGGGAGGTTTTGGAGATCTGGTTCATTTCCTTTGCCCCTGTAAGATCAGGGTAAGCCAAGATGTAATCTGGTCTTAGAAATGAGTTTTGGGGAAGTAACATGGGGGTGGTGGTAGAAATCCCCAGACAGTTTCTTTAAATGTCTCTAGTCTGTTTTCTAACCTTGGAAAAGTAAGTGTTTTTACTTCTGAAAATTGCCTGACACTGTGCTTCCAAGCTTTCCTTTTGGCTAGAATTTAGTAGCCGTGGATGGTGATTATTCCCTTGAATTTTGCATTTTTGTAGAATCTTTTTCTTGGTGTTTTCTTTGCCTATGTTAAAAGGAATGTATGGTCGTTTAAATTTTTTTAGCAAAACAAATGCAATACAAGACATGTGAGTGTGATGTTAAGAGCACAGACTGGTACCACACTGCCTGTGTTGACCTGCTGGTTCTGTCACTTCCTCATGGGGATATAGCTTCTGCGTCTCACTGGGTTGTGGTGAGGCTTAAATGAGCAAATGGGTAGAAGGCGCTGGGATTGGTGGCTGGCACATAGGTATTCGGCGAGAGAGACCATCACTAGTTACAGGCACAGAAACAGGTCTCTGTCAGTGAGAAGAACCATGTTGGGGTGGGTATGGGGCACTTCGGTAGCTCACCGGAGGAGCCACCAAAGGGAAACCCAGACTTTGGGGAAAGGGAAAAGACTTTCTGGGGCAAGTGGTACCACAACTGAGGCCTCAAAGGTGAGTGATCTAGGAGAAGAATGGGCAAGCGTGTTTCAGCAGGGATGGAGCCTCAGGAGCAAGAGAGCAAGTGTGTGGCTCCCGGGCAAGGGTGGAGAATGACTGGCAGCCTCTTGAAGAATGTCAAGGCCTGTGGACTTTTTCCCAAGAGACTTTTCTCAGGAGAAAATTGGAGGTTCTGGAGTGTCCTGCCCTTCTTTCTCTTCCTGCTGCAGTGTTTAGACTCCTAGAATTCACAGATGTTTTTAATAATTCACAGTCTGAGAAACAGGCTGCCCCTAGTTCAGTCAGTTGAGCAGCTGTGGTGTGGGAAGTGAATGTGGATGTGTACTGCATGCTTTCATCCTGTAGTGAGGCTAAAGCTCCATCATCTTAGCTCTAGGCCCCCAGACTCCACTCCACACACAGAGCCCAGGGCTCAGCCTGTGTGCTGTGCAGAGCTTTCCAGAGCAGAACCTTAGCTAAGTCTGGAGACAGCCCTTGACACCTACCTCCAAACAGTTGAACCTTGGCTTTTGAAAGCAAGAGAGGAGCAACTGTTCATGAACCAGGGAGTGTCAGTGTGATTGACAGCTGATACCTCCTCAGAGACCATGGAGGCCAGAAGGCAATTGGATAACATTTAAAGTTTTGAATGAAAAAAAACTCAACCAAGAATCGTATATTCTACCATATGATTATTCGGTAATGAAGGAGAAATTGAGAAATAGCCAGATAGGCAAAAGCGGAGGGGATTTGTTACCAATGGGCCTGCCCTACAAGAAACACTAAAGAAAGTCCTTCAGGCTGAAATGAAAGGTTACTAGACAGTCATTTGAAACCATAATTAAAAATAACACTAGTAAAGGTAACCAGACTTGTAACTTTTGGTTGGGTTTGTAACATCTTTCTTTGTCTTTTGGGCTTTAAAAGGCAAGTGCATTGAGCAATAATTTTTTAAATCTATGGTGATGGGCATACAATGTATAAATTATAATCTGTGGCAATAACAATATAAAAGGGGTGAGACAGATCTATAGAAACAGTGTTTAGATACTATTGAAACTAAGCTCCTCAGGCTGGATGATTTCAGTTGTCTTGTTTTCAAGGTCGCTGACCTCTTCTCCTGCCTGCTCACATCTGTAGAACCCCTCTGTAACAACCCAGCATTCAATCTAGGTGATTGTAAATTGTTAATAATAATTGTAGTCCCCACGGTAACCAAGCAATAACTTGAAAAATACAGAAAAGGATAGAAGGGAGTCAAAGTGGCACACACTACCAAAAATCAGCCAAATACCAAAAAAAAAAAAAAAAAAACAGCAGCAATTGAAGGAATTGAACAAAAGTCATATAAGGCATGCAAAAACAAGTGGCACGAGTAAATCCTTCCTTATTAGTAATCACATAAAATGTGAGTGGATTAAACTCTTCTATTAAAGAGACATTGGCAGATTAGATTGCATCTGTCTACTTCAGATACACACTACACATCAGATATAAGAACACAAAGGGGCTGAAAATAAGAGGATGGAAAAATACATTCCATGCCAAATAGTAACAGAAAGAGATCTAGAGTGGCTGTATAATTATCAGATACCATTTAAAAGGTTATGAGACAAAGAAGGACATTATATATTGATAAATGCCTTAAAACAGCAAGAGTGCACACCAGTTATAAACACACACGCACACACACACCTAACAACAGAGCCCCAAAATATATGAATCGAAAAGGGACAGAATTGAAATGTGAAATTGAGAAACCCACAGTTATAGTTGACCTTCGAATCCTGCACTTTCAGTACTGGATACAAGGACCAGACAAGGTGATAAGTATATGGGGGACTTGAGCAACAGTGTCTGCCAGCCAGACCTAACAGACATGTAGAGAACACGCAGCAACGGCAGGATTGATGTTCTTCTCAAGTGCCCATGGAACATTCTCCAGGATAGACCATATGTTAGGCCATATTAAACAAGTCTTAAAAAATGAAAGAAGACTGAAATCATATAGAGTGTTTTTTTCTAATCACAGTGGAATGAAATTAAAAATACTAGAAGGAAAACTGGAAAATCCACAAATAAGTGGAAGTTAAACAGGACATCCTAAAACAACCCGTGAGTCAAGTAATCAGAAGGGAAATTAGGAAATACCTTTAGATGAGAACAAAAACAACACGGTACACCAAGTCTGGTGGGGTGCTATGAAAGTAGGACTAGGAAAGGGGCGCCTGGGTGGCTCAGTCGTTAAGCGTCTGCCTTCGGCTCAGGTCATGATCTCAGGGTCCTGGGATCGAGCCCCGCATCGGGCTCCCCGCTCAGCGGGAAACCTGCTTCTCCCTCTCCCACTCCCCCTGCTTGTGTTCCCTCTCTCGCTGTGTCTCTCTCTGTGAAATAAATAAAATCTTAAAAAAAAGAAAGTAGGACTAGGAGGGAAACGTGTAGCTGTGAAGAGGACTCCATACTCATAGCTAGAATATATAAAGAGCTATAAATCAATGAGAAAAAGATAATCAAAAGAGTTGAAGAAGGGCTTCACAAAAGAGGATGTGTCCAAATGGCCAACAAGGATGCAAAAGAATTTTCAACACTGTTGCACATTGAAACCACAGAGAGACCCCACTGCTGCCTCCTCGACATGGTTACAGTTAATTGGCCTGACAACATCTAGAGGTGGCAAGGCTCTGGAGCAGTTGGAACTCCTGTCACACCACTGGTGGGAGCATACATTTGTACAACTACTTTGGAAAATCGGTATTATATGCAAAGCTGAACATGTACACTCTAGCCCCCAGAAATTGTCTTCTAGGAACACACCCAACAGAAATGAGTGCTTATGGCTACCAAAAGCCATATATAAAAATGACCGTCATAGTTTTATTTTTAATAACTGAAACTGGAAACCAGCCACAGGTTCCTTGACAGTGAAATGGAAACATTCACTGAGGTATAATTCAGTGGGATGGCACATACCTGCGGGAAAGGGTGATCTGCTGTGTGCACCGGTATGGATGAATCTAGCAGATAAAATTTAAGTGGAAGTAGCCACTCACAAGAGAGTACACACGTGGAATGGGTGATTTCATTTTTAAGCCATTAAAAAGGCAAAACTCATTTATGGTGATAGAAGTTCTTTTTAATTAATTAATTTTTTTTAAGATTTTATTTATTTGACAGAGAGACTGCCAGAGAGGGAACACAAGCAGGGGGAGTGGGAGGGAGAAGCAGGCTTCCCGCTGAGCAGGGAGCCTGATGCGGGGCTTGATCCCAGGACCCTGGGCTCATGACCTGAGCCGAAGGCAGACGCTCAGCGACTGAGCCACCCAGGCGCCCCTGTTTGTTTTAAGTAGGCTCCACACCCAGTGGGGAGCCCAGTGCGGGGCTTGAACTCACGACCTTGAGATCAAGACCTGAGCTGAGACCAAGAGTTAGACGCTTGACTGACTGAGCCACCCAGGCGCACCCTGATAGTAGTTTGGGGATGCTCTTCACTGGGCAGGGGCAGAAGGCTGCCTTCTGAGGTTCTGGAAATGTCCTATAGCTTGATCTAGGTAGTGATTACATAGGTGTATGCGTATGTAAAAATTCATTGAACTATCTAAGATTTGTGCATCGTATTCTATAAAAGTTAATTCTCAATTAAAAACAGAAGGTTTGTTTAAAAGATGTGAAACAAAATGCACATCGGTTCGCCAGCTTTTTGATGTAAGACCAAGGTTTTCCCATGTGAACGGTGGGTCTGAGTGTAAACCACACCCTCAGTGATTTTTTGGAGCAATTGCCCAGCAATATGCATTGGGATCCTTTGGGATTTTTATAGATTTTCCCCCCAGTTTCTTATTGTTGTCTTACCTATATTTAATTTGACAAGCTTTTTTTTTTTTTTTAGCATCTTTATTATGTCTCTAAAAATATTCAACCAGTCTCTTTTATGAATTGGACTTCCTTATAAGCTTCCTGTGATTAAAAATGAGCTTGAAAACTTGTGATATCAGAGGCTCTGAGTGTCTTTCTCGCCCTGCAGTTCTGTGATCCCGGTATTTTACATACGTACGGTGCCGGCAGGGAGAGCGCAGAGCACCTGCAGCGGCCCCTGCGTCACTCGTCCTGGCGCAGACTGTGCTCCTGCTGTGTCCTAACCCTTCTCTCCTTCTTGTTCGTCCCAGCTGCCCACTGCTGAAACTGCCCCTGCCGGGGACAGGACCGGTGGAGTTCACCACTCCTGTGAAGGACTACTCACCCCCGCCTGTGGCCCCTGACCGCAAACCAGGGGAGCCCAGTGAGCGGCCAGAGTGGGTAGGTGCTCAGCGTGTGGCCGGGGAGAGCCCCGAGGGTTGGGTGGAGATTGGCAAAGGCAGGGGTTCTGGGAGTGAGAGTGAGGGTGGCCAGCTTCTGATTGGTGAATACGTGTCCTTGACCGGCTTTACCAAGGCACCACAGATACTTAGTCACACAGTTAATGAATAACCTTTTTTGAAAGGAAACCCCAAGTGACACAAAAGTGCGACTGTCCTACAATAACAGGGTGGGGTCTGTGGTTGTGGTCACTGTGGCCAGATGGGTCTGGCTTCCTAGCTGGCCTGCTCACACACCATGCCCGGGGCCGAGCCGTGCTCTGGCAGACAGGCCATCTCCTTGCCCCAAGCGGTCATGAGAACCAGGGAGCATCCCTAGAGAATGTTCTGTCATCAGCGTCTTGACACCATCTAATGTATGCGGTATGCACCTCATTTTTTCAGATCGGTTAGGTCCAATTTTCTCCTCACAATGCAGTTAGGTAGAAAGAGTTGAGTTTTTGTGTTTTGTGTTTTTTTAATCCCTTTTACAGTTAAGGAAGTGGGGCCAGAGTGATGAGGAGCCTCTGTTATTTAGTTTAAGTGGGGTCAGCACTGCATCAGAACCCCGGGACTCCTGACCCCTGCTGCTCCTGGACCATACCATCCCCAGTTGACTGTCTCTGAGCTGAGCACTGATGGCCACTAGGAAGTAACAGTCGCTCCAGTCGAAGGTCTCAGGCGGAGGAACTAACTCACTGTGATGCTGGACTTGTTATTCAGAAATCTTTTTTTTTTTTTTTTT